ATGATGAAGACAACGATAGAGAGGCGGCAGGCTAGAAAAAGATAGCCGTGCAAGTAATCAGGCAAGCAATCAGGCCGGAAAATATTGAAGAAATAGAAAACGCGCGCGCGTGCTGTGTGCAGTCATAAGCACGCGAGGGTTGGCACAACACGAGAGAAGTGTTAGAAGTAGCGGAGTGCTTCTGGACACTTCTTGAGTGTTCTACCAATCCCCAAGTGCTTTATAACAGCACACAGCACAGCAAGCAAGTTTTTTATTTCTTTTATGAAATACAAATTACGATAACCGTTATTTTATATTGGAATGAGGCAATGTGCTCTCATAAAGCACGCGCTCCAAACCAACCAGAACGGGACATTCACAACAGTTATTTTATAAACAGATTGATATCATCATTGAGTCAGATCCTTTTATTAACCGACGGTCTTATCCTTCATATTCACCCAACCTAATTAAACAAAGGAATGTCCAGGCTGATATCTAGTTATCAATCTACCGAGAAGGTTGATATTTAGTTATCAACCCCGTTTTAAGAGCTTCCCCAATGATGATATAAGGAGGCTATATACCGTATGCCTCGGTCGATGGATATGGGTTATACTCCAGGCTTCGTCTCGGGTTGATATATCTCATCTCCACCTCTGTAACGGTATATAACCTTTGAAAATAGACAGCTAAGCGGCAGGAAGGCTGACAAACAGACCGAGACTGACAAAGAGTCATGAACAGACAGATTGACACTAGACACCGACATACAGAAAGAAGCATAATTACAGATAGAAAGATAGACACATGCAGAATGGAAAACTGAAATCAAGCAAACGAGTCATATAACATATGAGGTGTATTTACGTTTAAGCGAATAAACATCGTTTGCCAGTATTCCACCAACGCCATTCTTACAACGGTTGGATTTTCCATATTTGTCAAAATCTTGTTCAGACTCGGGTCCGGTCCAGCATTCTCCTCCGAACTGTACAGCATAAACAGGAAATCCTTTCTTATCAGCCAAGTCTGCGCACTTACTGACCGCTGTTTGGGCAGGAAATTTTCCAAGGTACTTGGGAAATGCTCGGTCTTCTTTTTCGTCCTTGTAGCAGCCGATATGGTGTTCCTCTTTAAAAAAAAAGAATAATAATTAGGTAAGCATTTGTTTCGTTAAGAAAAATCATATTCTAACATAGCTGTAAATCGCTAAGCGTAAGTGACGTTTGCTTCCTTCATAAAGGATTTTGCGTGTAGCTGATCGGACTTTTAAAAAACGTCTAAATTATCATGATCATTGCTCCCTTTATATTCCTTAGACATTAAATGATTTAAAACAAATAGAAGTTCATGATAATAATATTCTATAACCGTAACTCCACGTCGGTTCGCACTCACAGGCACACTACCTTTACGTTTAATGTTTTCAGCATACAACTTCAGTAAACTCACACGTTTTTTACAACAACTGGATTGAATAAGAAGAAAGCTTAAACACTGTGTAAAAACGTTTGTAACTATACAACTATAAGTTTAGAAGGTTAGTCCTTCGTCGGAGTAAAGGAGGATTTTGACGTCGATGAAACCGAAGGATCCGGAAAAAACCTCACATGGTAAGGAAGAGAACATCCGTCATCGAAAAAGCTAAACATAAAAATTTAAAAGAACGTTTCGTGTGAACAATACCTGGGAATGCATAAACATCGTTTGCCCAGGATCCCCCAACGCCACTAGAGCACTGTGAACTCGATCCGTATTGGTCGTAAGTCTTTTCAGCAGATGRTCCGCTAAAGCACTGTCCGCCATACTGAACACCGAACACTCTGTAACCTTTAGATTCAGCCAGTTCAGCACATTTCCTGACCGCTTCACCAGGAGACGTGAAAATGTAAGTCCACAAGTGTTTTGGGATGGCTCTTGCGGCTTTATCCGCGTAGCAGCCGAGATGTTTGTACTCTATGTGAAAAACAAAATATCAGATAAGTAAAAATCAGATACCTTGTAATAACCCCCCATATGACATATTAACTTTTCTCATTTAGATCCCCCCCCCCCCTGAGTTTGCTTTGAGCCCCAAATTAACGTCACAAGTAAGGGGTGAATAGATACGATCTCTCATTGCTGACTTTCGTGACCCAGAATACATTGCGCAAATTTCAAGATGGCGGATCTTAAACGTAAATTTGTGGGAACAACTGAGATTGAATGAAAAATCTTTCAGCGATCTGTTTCAGCTAAAAATGTTTGGTAGATTAATATGATTTTGGTTCAAAGTGTAATTTCAATAAAAAAGGATTTAAACTTGGTATCTCTAGTCTTCACACCATGGAAATTAGATACACAGTCGCAAGCACGCTCTCTAAGAGCTTTTTGTATTCATGTCTTTCCACACGCTCGACAAAATAGCAAAGATTTCCTCACCTTCGAAGGTTCTTTTGACCTCCTCATCATTACATTCCTATAAATCAAGAGATAATCCTTAACAAACAATTAAACACACAAAACAATAAAGGACTAAAGGACTAACGGACTAACGGACTAACGGACTAACGGACTAAAGGACTAAAGGACTAAAGGACTAAAGGACTAAAGGACTAAAGGACTAAAGGACTAAAGGACTAAA